TAAACTCTCGGTATTTTGGACCGGGTATTTTGGATGCCTTCGAATTTCACCGGATGTAATAATTTCTCCCCGGCGGCCCTTTCCTCCGCTGGAATCTTCATCGGCGAACTAATTCAAGCACAATAGATATCTTCTCATGGCTGCCTCCTCTCTCCGTCGACTCCCGTCGGTCTCTGACTCCTACCCCTGCCATTTCCTCCTCTACATTATCCATTGGTGAGCTAGTATGAGAAGGCAAATTATTGCATTCGGTCACCTGACAGAGAGATGCGTTCGGAGCTCTCTCTGTCTACAGTGAAAGCGCAGGTACTGTAGCATACCTGCATTTTACTGAAGGGATCTCTGTCAAGTGACCGGATGCAATAATTTGGCGTATGGAGAGGCCCTATCTCTCCGTCGGCTCCCATTTATCTTCGCCCAGGACCTTTCCTTCTCCTCCCCATTTTTCATAGGTGACCTATTTTGAACACAACAGAGTTTCTACAGGCGGCCCTCTCCATCCGTGGGCTTTCATTTTTCTCTGGCGACCCTATTTCTCACATAAGGTAATTTTTACTTAATACTGTAACATTAACTTGGGGAAGTTTTAGAAGGATTCTAATCGGTAAGCTGTCTCTACAATTTTGTTTTTCTTCTCGTTTGGCAAGATTTGAACAACTTCAGCATTGTCTTGAGATTCTCATTCCTAAAAATGAGAACCAAGAAAGAAAGAAATTGCCACCTCTTCGAAATACTTATATAAAGAATTTTTTCTTTGGCTAATTTGATTGTAAATTGTAATGGATTTCATCAATCGCATGAGCGTGAACGAAAAGAGATATTATGTTATGATTCTTCCACAGTATATGGTGAAATCCAACGCCCCTTTCCTTCATTTTGAATATTAGTTAGAACACAGGCTCCTCTTAGCCATGGACATATCCTTTCAATCTCCTCTCCAAGCAAAAAAAAGGACCAGTTCTCTTTCAAGTTTGACTGTTCTCTTTTTATCATGGTTCTTAACTCCAACTCAAACTCCACCTTACCAAATGTACTCTTTAAGTTCCACATGTAAATCACTTTTAATTTGCTCACAAAAATATTGCATTGACAAAAATGAACAACTTCAAATTCTGACGCTGAAAGTAGAAGTAAACAAAATCTTACTTTTACTTAAAACCAATCAGTAATTGCATTTGATATTGAAATTTCATGCTAAATTATATGTATAAAATTGACATCTCATGTTATGTATGTAAATTTAGAGTTTTATATGCTAGATATGTAAATACATATATATTGAGTGGTTTGTATGTCAAAAATATATTTCTCTCATCAATTAGGATTGTGAAATAGTTGGTTAAAATCTTTACGACAAAATTCCCCCACATCATCTGTTCGATAAAATTCTTCAACAAGAATAATATGTCGGATTGAACTTTAGGAATATGTGGTTTTTTTCTTATGAAAAGCAAACAGTTCATATTCTTGTTAACAAAATGAGCTTTGCACCATGAGACTAAGTTACACATTGCCTTTGAACTTTAAATTTTTTTTTAATGAAATAAACATTCCTTGGAATCTATACCTGCTGAAATTGTGTTTCGAAAGGTTTTCAATCGCTGAAATTTGTTTTAAGTAATGTCTGTACTTGGTGAAATTCATTTTTGTGATGCGCATTCTAGCAGAAATTCATTTATTATTATTATTAAACATATGCTTGCAGAAGTTGTTTTAAATTAGGCATACTTTTGCTGCAACTATTTTAATTGTGATGTCTTGGTCTATTTTGACTTGATTAGGCCTTATATTTTCTGAAATTGATCTAGCAGAAGTTATTTTTGCTGAAATTAACATCATCTTGGCTTTGTATTTGCTGAATCTAGTCCCAATTATATGTTTGGTAAAATTAACTCCATGTGAGTCTTCTACATTTCTTGGCATCACTAATTTCATGCCTCATTGTGCATATACATGTATGGGTTTAGAAGTTCATTTGTGTTGCTTTCCATGAGAATGGGTGATGATGAAAATCCCTTCTCTTTGAGAATGATTATGCCCTATTGTGTTAAGTATAGTTATTTCTCAAAGGTATCATGAACATTATGAATGATTCCAATATTAGTGCCAACAACTATTTCATTGACAACATGATATAATATATAAATAGAGGCTTTTTTCTATTGATGAAAGAGATGAATCTTGAGCCCCCATCCTATATTGAAGACTTAATTGATAATATTCCTATGCAATCACTATGTGATCATATTTTTTCCTTTTTGACCTAGTTTAGTCATCTTAGGGTACCACAACCTAAACGTCATATGCACACCTATGTCTCCTAGGAAAACCTAGACTAAGGATGAACCTATACTCAAACTTAAGTTGACACCCTAGTACCTAAGTTAAGCTAGCGAGATTCTAGGTGAAGGACGCACATCCATCACACTTGAAACACATTCTCTTTATGGTGCATAAAGACATGGATGTAAGCCCAATTGATACATGTTATGCCTTATTTGATGTAAGAGTTGATACACTTGTTTCTTGTACAGCTGCTCGTCTAATTGTACATATAAACATACACAATCATCACACTTGATAGATTTGATGTTCACATTGTGATGGACACAATGCAGCACTATCGTCTTCATACGTGTGAAGCAGTACAGCATGACCATAGGCACACATGCATTTTATATTTCCTATTATATGCTCACTGTTATGACACTGTATTATGTGTTGAATTGCTTTGACATCCATGAAACTATGATTGCATGTGAACTTATACTATTTATTACTAAGTGGTGTATGATGCAACACATGTTACAAAGAATTTAGGATAATCAAATCTTCTACATAAAATGAACTAAAATCCCAAAACCAATTTAAATCATCACCCCATTTTAAACAAAGCATTAAAATAAAGTTTTCTATTAGTCACTTCCTAAAAGGATAATTAGAGCTACTTCTTATCAAGGCAGTGCATATTATGTGCTTGTGAACTATATGCGAGTTTTTTGGTATTTCCTAGCCAATGCACGTCATATCATAACCTTGAGTCATCATGTGAAGGTTTACATAATTTAATAAAAAAATTTATTTCTTTAAATTATAGCATATGGACAATTTTTTTATATGACAAGCCAATAAGACCCACTAGGATAGACATCTTTTATGAAATTGTAAGACATATATTCCCATTCATCTAGTATTGTCAGTCTATGTTTAAAGTTCATTAGACTTGCACATCTCTTATTAGATAATAACAAAGAACGCCTACTTTAGGAGCATTCATTATAGTATATGATCAACAAAACATTAATAAGAATAAGAATGAAGAAACATCATTTACAATTAGAGCAATAAAACTTGAATTATATCATTTGCAATATATAATATCATTTATAATATAATAAACAATAACATAACATCATTTACAAAATTATACATGAACTGCAATCATATGATTAAATCATTATATATAGCATTTAGTTACATTAACAATAACAATCTCCCAATCTTCCTAAGGACTTATATTAGTTTATCTCTAAAAAATGGTCTGCGATCATTTGTAACTTATTGAATGTTCTTCTTTGATACCAAGTAAATAAAGTATTAGATTGTATACCCCCCACAGTCTCCATTATGAAATAATGAAATTCAAAATTAACCAATCAACCGGCCCTAGCATGGGGTGACAGTCTAGCTGGCATGCGAAAGAGTCCTGTGGGCCTACTAATGTGGGCGGCGGGCAAGGAGAGAGGGAGGCTCAAAGGGGATTAATTCTATCTTTAATTACTTGCCATAGAAAATCAAAATTGGAAGGAAATTAAGAAGGATTATTTAGGGAAGATATCTGATTTGAATTCAAATTTGGGAGAGGATTAGGAAGGTTTATTTAGGGAAAAATGGCTTATTTGGATTCAGATTTCGGAGGGAATTAGGAAGGTAATTTAGGACATTATGGGATTTGTGTTTTTGACATGGTTCTCTTTGGAGTTGTTCCTAACAGCATCTAGGGTTTGTGGATAATCGACCTACCTCTCGAATAGTAGATCAACTTGTATATTGGTTGTTGTGTCGATATTAAAAGACATTAGCCCATAATCTCATTTTTTCTCTCTAATTTATGCTGTGTTTTCTCTTCATTATTGTTGATTTTGATTGTGTGGAGATCGGATTCCTATCAAATTGGTATAAGAGCAACTTTTTTATGACCTATGGCTGCTAAGAAGGTTGATGCGTTGGAGGAGGGGCTTGATGGGGAAGTTGAAAATCTAAAATTTGAATTTGGAAAGCGAGCTTTAGCAATTGAGATTTTTGAATCTGAAAGAGATGATGAAAAAGATATTAGAGTTTTAAGCCTAGATGACATCATCGGAGGCAAGAGCACCTTTGAAATGGATAAGGAAGTGGGGAAAATCCGAATATATAGATGATGAGTGAGGATTGAGAGATGAAAATTTTGGGGAAAGAAGAGTAGATGACACCTTTGGAGCCACTTCTAAGGAGGGGAACAGATGAACGGTATGGCCAACGAAGAAATTGGAATGGTAAAGATCAGAGAGCTGATTTGGGGGGAGAGGGAAACATGGAGGGATCACAACACCTGTACACTGGAGGAGGGAGAAGCAATTGGGACAGTGGCGATCCTAGGGTGAGAAAGTTGAAGATGCCATGTTTTTAGAGAGAAGATGCACACGGTTGGATTTATAGGATGGACGGATATTTTGTTGTAAATGAGTTGCAGAAGATGAAAAACTCTTCGCATTCATTCTATGTCTGGAAGGGAAGGCTCTGTCTTGTGGAGAGACTTGCGATATCTGATTTGATCATGGAGGGAGTTCAAAGCCTTTCTACTATAATGTTTTCGAACCAGTTGGGAAAGAGACTTCTATTAACAATTCTTTGCTCTAGTGCAGGAGGAGATGATGATTGAGTACCATAGTACTTCTCGAGCCAATTGGGAAGATTGTCAAAAATTATGCTAGAGGGGAACTTTATGAAGGGGCTCAAGCCTGATATGCGAGCATCCGTTTTAATACTGAGAGTACAAGGCTTAGGAGAGGCTATAGAGTTAGCCCAACTGGTAGAGGATAAGAACTCCTTGGAGAGGAGTGGCCATAGCAGCAGTTTGGGAGTCTCCTACCACACTACCAATACATTTCTGACACCAAAAATGCAGACGATGCCTATTCAGAAGGTAGACCCAAGGGTTAGAGGTCAAAGAGTACGACGATGGAGGAACTTCAAGAGGTTGACTGAGTCAGAAATTCAGTAGAATATGGCCAAAGGTTTATGCTTTAGGTGTGATGAGAAGTTCGCTCCAAGCCACGGTTTTAAGGGTCATTCGTTACAGGACTTGATAGTCAGCGATAAGGAGAAAGATGATCACCTGCACTAAGATGTTGCAGAGGTATTCCTTACATCAATTGTCGGGTTCACAACGAGAACCACGCCATGAAGGTTAAAGGGAAGATCGAGCATCAAGAGGTGGTAATATTGGTGGATAGTGGAGCTACCCATAACTTTATTTCCAGCAGGATGATGGATCAATTGGGACTAAAATTAGTGGGCATGAGGGGGCTTTGGGATTATGCTAGGAACACGAAAAGTAGTAAGGAGTAGAGGAATTTACAAAGGGGTGATCCTAATCCTTCCAGAGATTTAGGTATTGGAAGACTTTCTAGCATTGGTTTAGGGGAGCACCGATGTGATACTGGGAATACAGTGGCTTTAGAAGTTGGGGAAGACCAATATTGATTGGAATTCTCTAAAGATGGAGTTCAAGCTTGAGGAGGAGAGTGGTTATTATGATTTCACTCAAACGCATGGCAAGGGCTCCAGGAGGACTTCTGCAACCTTTAGCTCTCTCTGAGAAGGTATGGGAAGAGATAACCTTGGATTTCATTGAATGTTTGCTAATATCGGAGGGGGTTTCAGTGATTTTAGTAATAATGGTTAAGTTGAACAAGTATGCTCATTTCATTCTCCTGCGACACCCATACATGCTGGTTTCCATGGCAACACGGGCTACATGTAATTCCGGAGTCTATAGTGACAAATAAAGACAAGGTGTTCCTGGCCAGTTTTGGAGAGAGATATTCAAGATGCATGGAACCGATTTGAAGAGAAGTACAACATAATATCGATTGACGGATTGGCAGACCAAGGTGGTGAAAAGGAGTGTAGAGATTTATTAGAGATTTTTTGTCTTAGAAACACCCAAGGCCTCGGTAAAGTGGCTACCTTGGGTTGAGTATTTGTATAATACATCCTACCATAGTACAGCGCAGACTACACCCTTCAAAATCCTTTATAGCAGAGGCCCTCCTCACCTAGTATACTATGGGAGCAAGAGCACTCTAGTTTCATCAATAGAATAACAGTTGGTGGAACATGATAGAATATTGTGAGAGCTAAAGGGGAACCTACTAAGGGCACAATAAATTATGAAGAAGCAGGCTGATGAGCATAGAAAGGATGTGTAATTCAAGGTGGATGATAAAGTATATTTACAAATTCGACCGTACAAACAAAAGACCTTATCTTGAGGAAATGAGAAGTTATCTCCACGGTACCATGGGCCTTATGAGGTCGTGATCATGATTGGTGCCATGACGTGTCGTTTGTAACTACCACCTACTTCCTCCATACACCCAGTGTTCCATGTGTCACATCTAGAAAGTTATTGGCAACCACAATCCATCAGTGATGTTGTCAATGGCCTTGATAGAAGAAATGGAAGTGATCCTGGATCCAATAGAAGTCAGAGGAGTTTGCTCGATAGTAGGAGTTAGAGAAGTGTTGATCAAGTGGAAGGATATGCCCGACTATGAAGCAACATGGGAATCGTATCGGATGATTTAGCATCAGTTTCTTTCATTCTATCTTGCGGACAAGGTTGCTCTTTGGGAGGAGTATTAATGGACCGGCATAGCCAGTCTAGCCAATCAACCTAGCCCTAGCAAGAGGGGTTGGTCTAGCTAGCGGATGGAAGAGCCCTATGGGCCCCACTAGTGTGGGCGGCAGGCAAGGAGAGAGGGGGCCTTAAAGGGAATTAATTCTACATTTAATTACTTTTCGTCGAAAATCAAAATTGGGAGGGAATTAGGAAGGTTTATTTAGGGAAAGATGGCTGATTTGAATTTAGATTTGGAAGGGAATTATGAAGACATACTGAGGATTAATTAGTTTGTTCTATTTTTATTATGGGATTTGTGTTTTTGCTTTAGTTCTCTTTGGAGTTTTTCCTAGCGGCACCAAGGGTTTGTACAGAGTCGATCTACCTCTCGAATAGCAGATCAACTTCTATCTTGGTTAGTTGTCCCAATATTAAAAGACATTAGCCCATAATTTCATTTTTGTCTCTTTGATTTCTGTTGTGTTTTCTCTTTGTTATTGTTGTTTTTAGCTATGTTGAGATTAGATTCGTATCAATTTCATTCCTATGTGTAAACAAATCAACCTATTCCAATAATGTAGGGAAACATTTACAGTTTGGGGTCATTGCCTGGCCCAATTCATTTGGTGAAACAATAGAAAGATCATAGTCATATAATATCAGTAACTTCTTAGAGAATGTAGTTTCATATTCTATCCCATGAATCTTATTTCAATTCATTGGATAGTATACAAATTCTATATCTAACTAGCTCATGAAGAATCTCTCCTCATCACCAATAATATACTCTAATACAACCGATGGCCACTTCAGCGGCTCCTTTAGCTTCTTCTACTCATTAATTTCAAAAATTATTGTTCTATAGTACTAATCAAATAGTTTATCCTTGGTAGTTATTTATGATCCAAATGTCTTAGAGTAGAGCTAGATTCGCTCCATTATTAGAAGCAAAATTCTTCTATAAGCTTCAAAATAATAAACCATATTTTAAACAACATTGTAACATTAGCATTATTATAATACAACTATGTTTGCATTAAAAATGTTACCTTTTTCTTTAAGTTGTGAGTGCATTTAGTGTTAAAACCATGTTGCGCTAGCACTCCTCACTCCAATCTTCTTTTCATTTGAGTTATCTATAATACCAATCATTCGAGCTTTAAACGAAGACAATTTCTCTTCATTTATTGGGTGGAGAGGGTTAATTGCACATAGATCCACTAGAAATTTTTGACAATGCTCGATGGATTTGTGTAAATATTTCGTTTTCTCCTTCGGCCTTTTATTATATGTTACTCATTCTACATTTTCTTTATTTCAAAGTTCAACTTCTTGGTGTCCTTATTTACAAACTCTTATCCTTTTTATCATATATACTTCTTCAATCTTAACTCTTTTTGCGTCCTCTTTATTTATAATCTCAATAGATGGAATAGGTTTTTGAGTTTCCATAACAACATCCTCATCATTGTATGACTTGGACTCATTATCATGGCTCATTTTGGTGACAAATTCTCTTATGTCCTCCTTTCAATGAACAAATTCAATTAGAGCATTTTGTTTTTGCTCAATTCTTAGTTATTTTTTCGTCAATATATTCTTAATAAAAAGCTCCTCTAGTTGAATAGAGGGCATATGATCACCTTATTTCCTCTCTTCATGCACCTCCTCCTTTGCTTTCTTAGTTTGATCATTTTTAATATTATATTGAACTTTATGAAAATTAAAAACTAATTATGAGTTTCTTTCTAACATTCTTGATAAATATTATCAACTAAAGTAAATATTTTTTCCCCCACAGCTACCTTTTTTAAGATGGAAGAAACGTGAAATAACTGCAGCACTATCCATAATTGCAGGCCGTGGAATAGCTATTCAAATATCAACTTTTCTTCACATGCAGGTTTTATCTTTGTAATTGTAACCTCCTATTTATTTGCTATTTATTGGAAAAATAATTGGGTCAGAATATTCTAATTAATTTTTTTTTATAAAGATGATTTTTAAATTCATTAAATTTATTTTAAAATTAGATCAATATAAATTTTGATTAGTTGTCCATATATTATGCTCATCTAAAAATAAAATTAAGTAGTTTTGAGATATATTCTTATCAATCTTTAGTTAAGATACTCTGATAAAAAAATGTGTATATTTATTTTATAAATTATTGTTTTAATATACTAGATGTTAATTTTGCTTATTTTGCAAGCTTTTTTAGATAATTTGGGGTCAGTATTTTTTTACATGATACTAAATTTTCCTTAGTTTTTCCTCCATGTTTATGAAATATAATCACATTATTGGTGAATTTTTTTATTCTCTAATGTACATATTGAAATTATCTATTTTTTATTACTTAATCATCAATATATGTTAATATTATAATCTTTCATTTTTCACTTTATTATTTTTTATTATCATAAATTTATTTTAATAATCTAATATATGACACCCTTCATTTATTAAATTTTTTTTTAAGTTGTGAGTATAGATTGTTGAAATATGTAACTAAATATTAGCTCTTAGTAATATTAAGATTGTTTATAAAGCAACAACTTTAGCCAAATATTTGACAATGTGATCATAATTTTTGAAAATAAGTTAGACTATTGTTTTCTGACAACATTTTTCCTATTAAAGATGGCTAAACAGATACTTTTAGCCATGCAATCAATTGTGTGTGACTAAAAAATAAAGCAAGTAAAATATAAATTAAATCTTAATATTTTTTAAGATACTAATGATTAATAATATTGTTGACTAAAAAAAATGAAATGAAACGAAACAGATGAAAATTTGGAAACAACCGACATACCCGCGTCTGTCGGCCCCAGAATTTTTATTGCATCAGGTAAAAAATATCGAGCATATCGAGTGTACCGAGCGTGTACTGAGCGCCTGTACCGAGCACGGTACCGAGCACTTTAGTGACGTGGCGTTTTGTTATTGGCTTTCGGATGCATTCGGTAACCTGACGGAATAATCACTTGTCAGCCCCACCTCGCTGAACGGAAAAATTATTCCATCCGGTGAAAATAACGAGCAATAACAAGCGGGCTGTAGCCGAGCACTTTAGTGATGTGGCGTTTTAGTATTGGTTTTCGGATGCAGTAACAGGACGAAATAATCACTCCGTTGAACAACAGACTCTTTTTTTTTGGGACATTTAGGCCAATTAAGGCAAACTCACACACACAACGCATACACATAGACTCGAACCTTGGACCTCTTGGTTGGAAGCCTAAGCTCTCAACCACCAGGCCAAGGAGAGTTGTGTACAACAGACTCTTTCGTTTCGGGAACTACCATTCGACAAAAGAAACAAATAAAAGGAACGAAAGAGTTCGGAAAGGGATTTACACTGCTCATTCGCTCCGACTCCGACTCCATTGTTGCTGTTCGACTCCGATTCCTTCGTGCCGTCCGACTTGGTTGTCACTGTTTGACTTCGCTGTTTCGTGAGGAGGCTAGGGTCGGCCTTTCATCTTCTACTTTCGTCATTGTTGTTCGGTTCTATTGCATCGCAGAAGGAGAAGAGATTGCACACGCCGCTTCTGCGGCTCTTTCCCAGAGAGCGAACGAGTCGCTCTTCGGCTCCTTCATTGCAATCCAACTTCGCTCCTCGGATCGACCCAGCCGGTCGACTCCAGCAAGCCGAACCCGTCGCCGGCCTGATCCCGCATCGTCGCCGACCAGCTTCCGAGCCCAGCCGATCCCGTGCGTGCCTCGGACCCGAGCCGATCGGGCTCTGCCCTAGCCCGATCCTTCTCCCCCCTCTATATATCAATATATATAATATATATCTTATGAATTATAATACATTGTATATAACATTATATAATGATAATAAAAATCTATTATAAGCACGGACCTCTAAAAAAAAAATAAATTGGAGAGCAATCAAATTTTGAATATCAATTAATTAATAAAAATTTTATTAATTGATTAATATTAATTAATCAAAATTATTCAAAATTAATTAAAATTAATTGATTTAATCAATTATATAAAATTTAAGAGTTATATATATATAATTATAATTATTTTAAATTTGAGAGCAATTTAAAAATCTTTATTATTAATTATTAAAATTCAAAGAATTTTTAATTAACTAATCAGAGCTAATAGAAATGCAATGAATAAAATGGAAAAAGAGAGGGAAGAATGTTTTCACTATTTGACATGTGCAGGCTCTCAAACTCTCCAAAATCCTCTTCAAATAATAACTCTCAAACAAATTGTACAAGTTCCCCGCTCGATCAACTCTCACAAACTGTACAAACTTTACAAACAACTCAACACACTCAAATTGAACTACCTGCAACTGCGAGACTCAACTATTGCAACCATTGGCTTCGAACACCTGCAAACAAATAAGTGAAGAGTCAGTACATTATAAATTAATTAAATGAATGCCAATAAATCTAAGCTATTACAGGTAGTATAGGGTATTGAAAAGCAATAAAGGTTAAGTACAAAAAGCTAGTAGAGCAACAGTGCTGAAAACAGAAAGAGTACTTGACTACTATAGTAGGGAAAATGGTACAAGCACAGAACAACTAAAACACTAATGCAAGTGTCAAAGCCCCGAAGTATAAAAATCACAAATCTTTCAAACTCTCCAAGTATCAAATCCTAAACAACAGACAAATTTCTCAACAAACACACAATCAAAAATCAAAATTCTTGGGCAGCCTTGTTTATAAGAACTTGGTTATAAGACCCACTACCCGGCAACTTTCGTAGGAAAGCAGTAAGCCCGATCTTAGGGTGAAGTTTTGGGTAAAATTGACCTAACTCCTAACCACCAATTAAAACCCCCGGCCACTTCTAATAGAAGCCGTAAGTCTGATCTCTAAGGGAAGTGTTTAGGTGATGACACAAACCTAGACCCCTTGGGCATCCTAGTCTAAAGGACTAGGTTGTAAGACCCACAACTCGGGCTGCTTAACTTACAGGGCTAGGTCGTAAGACCCACCGTTAGGCAACTTCTAAGGAAGTCATAAGACCTATTCGATTTAAATCTCCGGACAACTCCTAAGTGGAGCCGTAAGCCCCAAACTAAACAAATTAACGGGCAACTTCTAAGAAAGCCATAAGCCCCAACCCAAACTAAACAAGCCAATGGGCCACTTCTAAGTGAAGTCGTAAGACCCATATTTTTTTAGAAAATTACTAAATAAATTGTAATGATCCTAAATCCTAAATAATTTAATTTAAATCAATGGGCATCCTAGTCTGTAGGATTAGGTTGTAAGACCCGCTTTCGGGCAACTTCTTACTGAAGTCATAAGCCCCACATTTTAAGAAATTTGCTAAATAAATAGTAATAATCATAAACTCTAAACAATCAAATTTAAACTTTTGGGCATTTTGGTCTAAACGATTAAAATTGTAAGACCCGCTTTTTCAGGCTATTTCCTAAGGAAAATCATAAGTCCTTCCTAAACAATAAAAAGTCCCCAGGCAGCCTCACTGTAGAGTTAGGTTGTAAGACTCATTCTTGGGCAACTCATAAATAGAGCAGTAAGCCCCATTCTAAATCAAATTCTTGGGCAACTCACAAATAGAGCAATAAGCCCCAACCCAAATTAAACTAAACTAAAATTCGCACATCTCCACTTCAGTCTACTCGGGATCCCTGAGAGGAGGCAACCCATGGCTGCTAATCAGATTCCCTGGACACTACGGTCAATGATTGTTAGTGTTGGTAGACTAAAATCTATATATGGTATATCCGGGACGACGGAACCATAGGATCTTGATCGGGTTTACCTCCATTTCCCCCACTTTTGAGAATAAAATTATCTAAAGTTTATTCATCCTTAATCGAGAGTTCTGTCTTACGTAGTAAGAGGGGTAATTAACTATGAGTGCTTGCGCTCATGGGAAGTAAGGACCCCAGATCTTTAAACCCTGACACTACCCTCAGGGAAAATCTGGTTAACTTCAATCTGACTTAAGAGAAATGGAATCCTACTACTACAAAGCGGAATTCATGTATTCGTGTCATTTTTCTTGAGCCAACAAATATAATTTTAACTGCATTAACTTAAGACTATTAATGTCTCATAATTACTTAAAACTATTGTTGTCATAAACTACATTCATATAGTATAATTTGCTTGATTAAAAATTTTTAAATGTACTTAGATCTTAATGACCCATATCCTCTCTCATCACATTATAAATCTACAGCATTTTCTTATTAACCTATTTAGCTGTGGTTGCAATCTGAAAAAAGTCAAAGCATATGGAAGCCTTCCCAAACAGTCCCTTAGTTTTTTAAGAATATACTCATAATTTTTAAATAAGAAGTATTAATAATGTTAACTGATAATACTAATTTTACTTCCAATAAAATTACAGTATAGTCATATTGCCAAAAAATTGAGTTATATTCATGCATTGATTAATAATGTTAATAAATATTAAAATTTTATAAAACATTCCCTTACAATTTAATTTGACTAAAATGATATTTTTAACAATAATTTTAATCTTTTTTAAGAGAATGTATAACTATTAATTGTGTGTGACTAAAAATTGTAATCATAGTGTACATTAAACATTAGCGAAATAGTTAATGTTAGTCACAAAATTTTTTAATTGCACAAAATAATATAGTCACATTCTTGAAAAGATGTCACTAAGAGTAAGTAAAGTATGACTAAAAAGTACTTTTACCAACAAGTTGAAGAAAAATGTGATTGATAATATGATTTCAATTACACTAAATGTACAATTGATGATGAGTTGCCAGTGATGAGTAAGTCCTCGACATATACTAAGAAATAGATGAAAACCTATTTTTTGTAGTCCGTAAATAGTGATGGATCATATTAATGTTGATGAAGTCTAGATAGAGAGCAAATTTCTTGAGTTCGGCAAACCATCCATGAGATGTTTGTTTCAATCCAAAGAGAAAGCAACGAAGCTTACATCCATGATGTGGCTTTTAGTCATCGACAAAATCGGGTGGTTGAAACATAAAAACATCTTCTAAGAGATGATCATGGAGAAAGGTGTTATTGACATCTAGTTGATATAATGGCCTTTATTGGGAATTGACAGTGCTTATTACAACACAAATAGTTGTTGGTTTGGTAATTGGATTGAATGTTTCAATATAGTTGATGCATGATCTTTGGTGAAAACCTTTGGCAATAAGGCAAGTTTTGTAACACTCAATGGTGCCATCAAATCAACGTTTGAGGCCGAATACCCATTTCCAACCCCCTATATTTTGATTGGGTTGCCTCAAGTGTTGTTTTGATGGAGCGTTCATTTCTATGCACATGGCATCTTTCCCTTCAAAAGTTTTGAGGGCTTGTTGTGGACGCCATTAGAAAGGTCATTAATGGGTGGATTTGGGTTTCTGATTAGTGGAGATGATGATCGAGGATATTTTGTGGGTGAATATAATGGTTGGCATGATTATGGGGATGGCCGGTTTGGCAAATGTTTAGTGTGATGTTGTGATTTGAGTTTTGAATTTGAATTTGATGTGTTGAAAGATATGGACGCAAGTCAAGGAGAGATTGCAGCCCATTTGGATATTGCAAAGGAATTTATTTGGTCGTTATTGTGGAGGTTGGATAAAGATGGAAAGTTGTGCTCTACGAATTGGGCATGTTGAGAGATAATTTCGTGATTATTGAGCAAGCATTATGGAGGTTAGAGCATCTGAGAAAAATTCATGGTTTAGAATATTTTTCTCGTTTGTGTTTGGTGTATGGCCTAAGCCGTGGGAAGCATAAACACCTAAACATCTTTAGCTTTGGATAATTTGTAGCTTTTCTAGAAAGGCATTGAAATGGAGGGTTTTGATTTAGAACTAGAGTGGCTAGACGGTTAATTAGATAATCTATAGTATCAAATGCATTAGGCTAGAGGGAAAGCGGTAGAGCTGCACATTGAAGTGGTTTAAGACCACTTTCAGTGATGTGACAATGACATCATTCAGCAGAGGCAAAATATTGGGGGTGTAAGAAGGAGAAATTTGTTGTTGGATGACTTTTGTTTCACATTGATGTTTTAGACTTTGATATTCTTTACCACCATTGGTGTATATAGTGATGATATGAGTGTAGATATTTTTTTCAGCCATGAATTTAAATTTGGGAAAATTTGTGTGCATCTAATTTATATGCCATTGAAAGTATTCATTAGTATTTGCCGATGCGGTCAACAAATATGATATAATATAAAAGACCATTTATTCAATGGATTGGGGATAGATCCCAAACATCAGAGTACACCAAATTTAGAGGGTGATGACTAAACAGATTTGATATGTTGAAGGGTAGTAGTTTGTGAGTTTTGTTACATGGATATGAATCATAGAAGGATACATGAGATGATTTTAATGGGTAGGAAATTTATTTGTGGATATAATAAGATTTCGGATTTTTTATGATGGATGGCCAATACGGTCATGCCAGCAATGAAGGTATTGGTTTTAGGTTGACATTGGCTTGTTTAAAATTTAGTGGATTCTCTTTGATGTTGGGCCACTCATACATATTTTTCTGGCTCTGCCATCGAATGGGAGGTACCCCCATAGTGAGATCTTTGATTCGAAAGGAGGTGGGTTAAACTCAATTGATGTATGATTAGTTGTGCAAAATTGATAGATAAATATAAAATTTTGCTACATGTTAGGAGCAAATAAAACATTATGAAGGAGAAAAAGAGGTCGAGTGAGTCGGAGAGAGTAGGAGAGGTTTTGGGTTTTTCACTGTTTGTGTGAGTTGATTGAGGAGGCTTGATGTTGTTGCATCTGATTTGGATTAGAATGTTTTTGGAAGCATCTAGCTTTGTGTTGACTGAAGTTTCGTTTGTGGAAGTTATTGTTCATAATTGGAGAGAAGTCGTTGTTCCGTTGGCTGCATTTAGGAGAGTCTTAATATTCAACAAGTTTATTATGGAGAGCTTTAAATGAGATCGATTGTTCTCCTGCAGGTATAGATCCACCACTTTTTTGAATTATGTTCAAACTCCGATTATGCAGTGGCGGATGAGATCAGCCTTTTGTAATGGAGATCCAACAAGGGAAAATTGATCATCGAGACTTTTAAGTGTTTGGAGAAACGTAGTGGCCGAACTTTCGCCACAAGCTATTTAGGATAGATTTTTTTTTTTGGAAGACAATGCGTGATCATGAGCGATTAGCAACATACATGTGATCAGTTTATCATGCATCACTGGATTATGAGGATGATGCAATATGTGAGCCACTCACATGAGTGGCTCAGATAAGGCTAACATGGCATGAAGTAAGAGTTGATCTTATTAGACACAAATGGAATTATTTGGGTTGGTTATTTCATAACCATATATCCTAGTATGTGGTGAGTGTGGGTTATGGGGTGTCACCATTAATATAATCAAGAAGATTATATCTTGAAGAAGATATTGTAGTTGAGCTCGTCATGATAGATAATTGTTAAGAGTGAGTTTGAGTGAAAGTTTGGGCAGCTGGATTGATGAATGCTAGCGAAGGATGGTTGGCTTTGTTAGCCAAGGAGTTCATGGATATGATCGACTCGTTGGAGATGACCTGTCTAATATTATATAATAATACAAGAGATAATTAATTTTTGAAGGTAAAAATTGAACTAATATATATATGCAAGAAGTAATAATGACTACAATATTAATATTATAGAGAAAAGGATCAAAATGATCCCTCAACTCTTTGTGAGGGACCAAAATAGTCCTCAACTCTTTTGAGGGACTAATTTGGTCTCTCAACTTCTTAAAATTTGACATTTTTTGTCCTAATATCAAATTGGGCTTAATGATATTAAATCAAGGGGTATTTTGATTATGTTTTAATTAAATTATTTTTTAAATGTATTTTTCAAGTAATAGTATTTAAAAAAAATTTAATAAACATTTCTTTAATAAAAAAATATATTAATAATTCTAGTCTCTATAATGAACTTAAATTTAAACTAGAATTATTAATGATTTTTAAATAAAAACTAGAATTATTAATAACTTTTTTATTACATAAATATTTAATAATTTTAAAAAAAATTATTATTACTTGAAAATTATATTTAATAAATATTTTAATTAAAAATGACTAAAATATCTCTTAATTTAACATCATTAACCTCAAATTTTAATGTTATGACTAAAAAAAGTCCCTTTTTAAAAGAGTTGAGAGACCAAATTGGTCCCTCAGAAGAGTTTGGGACCATTTTGGTTATTCACAAAGAATTGAGGGATCATTTTGATCCTTTTCTCTAACATTATAACAAGGTCTTCATTTAATGAGTTTATATCTATCATTAAATGTATATATGAGGAAGGGTATATTATAAATAAGAGTAAATATTGTCATGATGTAAATGTGTAGGTTTCCTTAATAAAATCTAAATTTTAAACTTATTTTAACAGTTTCAATATTCTATTTTTATATAAACTATTTAACTAATGTTTAAGTGTTTATTAATTGTGCAGACCTTTGTTCTTGGAAGGCAGACTGACTTTTCAAGACCATTAATTTTGGGAACCATTGTCGTGAGCATGTTTTGCGTTGTGGTAGCATTATTGAAGGTACATCTGCAAATTAATAGAGAAATGATGGTTTAAATCTAAAGCAATTGTCATAATTTGTATAAAATTTAGAACTACATGATCCTTTAAATTTTAACCTTCTAAATAAACTTAATCATTTGATATTTTTGAAGCCTTTTTTATAGTTGGCATAATATTTCTTTTACAAACTTTTATCATTTCTACCTCAGGATGCAATTAAGTATATTAAGTTAAAAAGGGAAAGAAACTCATTGTGAATTATAAAGTATTCTAACTGAATCTCAATATTGAACTTAGGAATATGCACATGATTAGGCAACTATGTGATAAATACATGCTTTCTTCTAAACATATGTAGAATAATATACAAAGCCAAAAAAATCATATGTACTCGATCAACTTCATATATCACCGGGTTTTTTTCATAAAATTACTTCCTCGTAATTTTATATGTACTTCAAATTTTGCATGCTTATAACTAAAATGAGCCTCAATGAGAAGAATCTAACAATCTCATAATCGTTCAATTTAAAGATCATTAAGGCATTGAGATATCTAAAGATAAAATATATAATATGATTAAAAAAGATGTATATTTAGACCAACTAATGAAAAAGAACTCGATATTCTATCAATAAATTTATAAATAGGCATTCTTACTACATATTCAGGATGATTTTTTGTAGTGAATATCTCTAATTAAATTGCCGAGATCAACCATCAAAAGTAGATTGCTCTCAATTATGGCGATAATTTAAGATTTATCAAAATGCTAGCGAGTATGCCAATAAAGATAAATCTAGCATTACTTAGGCTTTTAATAAAAGGGAAAAAACTATAATTTACTGAAAGATAACATCATTCAGTTATATTGATTTTGCTAATTCTTGGCACTTGCAAGAAGCTCTTCTTATATTTTTGTTATATTGCACATTTGAGTTATAATTATGATTTATCAACAGGATGTACCAGATATTGAAGGAGATAAAAAATTTGGCATTCGTTCATTAGCTGCTAGTCTAGGTCCAAAAAAGGTGAGCTACTTATTAGTCAAATCATATATGGCATATTTCATCAATAAGTAGAGTTCTTAACTTCGATATATTATTGATTGCCTCATCTGGATTCTAACAGGTTTTTAGGATTTGCATTTGTCTCTTAGAGATGGTTTATATCATTGCAATAGTGTTTGGAGCCACTTCTTCTCGCCCATGGAGCAAGCTCATAACAGTATGTTCAATTAATACACTTATAAGGGAAATTAAATATATGAAAATAAGTTTTCTAGTTTATAATTGTTATGCTTAGGTACAATGAAAATCTTCTCGACTTTACTGCAGATATTGGGCCATTCAGTTCTTGCTTTATTCCTTTGGAAGCAAACCATGTCTGTCGATTTACAGAATAAATTTTCCGTGGAATCCTTCCACATTCTTATTTGGCAGGTAGTACTAAATTTTTTTAGCATAAGTTGAATGGATAATTGCTCAAATTTTTTTTTTATTTTTTATTTTGCAGCTCTTATCTGCTGAATACATGCTTCTTCCACTTGTGAGATGAAACGAAATTTGTTGAGTACCTGTGACAAATTATGTTCAAATTATATACACTTTCAAACAACTAGATTTTGCATTGTAATAACCAAATTTAGAGCAGCATTAATTTCTCTCTTAAGTACATGATGCATGTCTCTCTTTAATCCTTAAGAAATTTCTGCTGCAACTTAGCAGCATTAAGTATCCCAAGCAAATTATCTCTCTTATGGTAAACTTCTTAAGCTTCGTTTGTAATAGCTTTCTTAATACTTTCTATAACAACTTTATAATACAAAAATTATTTGAATGAGAAATTTTTATACTAGAAAGTTGTTTTTAAAAGTAATAATAAAGTTGTCTCAAACGAAGTCTTAGATTATCAGTATTTTTTGTGTGTGAATGAAACTACAACTTTGTCATAGTTTTAAACTTTTTAATCACATTTTTTAAAAGAGTAATTATTAAAATTGTGGCTAAGAGAATTTGTTGGTAAAGATGATTCGTTTTAATTAAAATATAAGTAGTCTATATGGGCTGATAATCTGTTAATTCTTGTGAGTTAGATAGCATATTTATTTGCGTTAGCACAAAGGCCATTTGATTAATGAAATGTGACTAAAATAAGATTTTGACAATTAATAGTGTTACAATTAGCGTGGTAAAAAAGCACAAGATCATTAGCAGAAGATATAAGCATGTAGTCATTAAGAGTCTTAATGCGAGTTTTTTTTTTTTTTTTTGGGTACTAAAGTTATATTAAGAATTTTAATGCGGGTTTTTTTTTTTTTTTTTGGGTACTAAAGTTATAGTAGAATACTTTGAAGAAGCAGCAATTATTAAATAGCATCAATGAAAGAAGAGAGAAATTTTTTTTGAAAAGGAAAACCATCTGGTCCTGAGGTCTTATCTTCCCTAATTCTAAAAAGTGCCTCTTTAATTTCCTTATTAGTAAATGTGGATATATAATAACCATAATCCTAATCATAGAGAACTTATGTCATGGGAATGTTAGAGAACAATTGAGAGATATTAGCATTGTTGTTGAGAAGCTTAGTGAAGTGGAATGTGGCTTCATTGGCAATATCATCTTGAGAATATGAAAGGTCATTATGTGACACCTCCAACTTCAACATTCAGTTCTAACCCATTTTAACCCGATTGGAAAAAGATAAAGATTTGAACTTTTGAGTTTTTCAATCATTTGCATGTCTTTAAGAGTGTTGTAATGCATGAAAATGATTGGGTGAACCTAATATGCATGTGTCCCAAGTGTTTGGTGTGAACTTTGGCAAAATTTGATAATGTCACTTTTGGAGTTCAACGATGCTGCACTCAACCAAAAAGCGCAAAATAGTGACATTGCAGTGTCGTGCTCTCGGGTTTTTGCAAATTTTTTAGCACCGCAGCCCTCTGATTTGAACGCCACGGCACTAGGTCATTATGAGCTCATTAAATATATTTTAAATTTCATTAATATAATAATTTCTTATGAGCAGGTACCTTGAACATGAGAGAGGAGAGAGAAAAAGAGGGTTTTAGAGAGGGAAATTGCATTTTGAGCCACTTCAAGCCATTTTCAGCCATTGACCCAGTTGAAAAAATTGTCCGGATCGAGATAGGTCGCATTATGTCTATCTCAGTTTTACAAAATATAAAATTTTCAAATTTTTTATTAAATTTGTATTTACATTAGCGAAAAATGTGTATAACTTTGCACTAGTAAAATTTTCACCACGTAATTTTTTATATGCTATAGAGAGCATGATTATGAATATTTTGAATATTTTCTGAAAATTTTATACCAAATAATTTGAAGTCTGTGCAATTTTAGTTGCACAAAAAATAATGTTTTAGTTCAATAGATATTTTAAAATGGTGTTTTAAATATTCCTTTGTAATTTAGTATTGTTCTTACATTGTAAAAATTTACTTAGTAGAAAGTTCAGTGGCAAGTCATTATAAAACACTATGAAAATTTGACATGTGCTAAATTTTGTTTTAAATATTATAATGTGGTGAAATATATGCCTATGTGAAGAGATATATGCTAATATGATTGAAAAATATTAGCTGGGAGTTATAAGTGACTAGAATCTTTTGAGATTTTATTTGTATCAGGGATTATTCTAGTGCATATAAGGCATGTTTCGGTGACTATAAAGCCATATTCTGGTGGCTATAAGCGATGTATTAGTGCTTACGAGCATATTCTAGAGCTATAAGCACAAAAATAAGACATATGGGGCAAGAATCTTTTGAGATTATGTCTATGACATAATATGAACTACTATATGATATGAATTATAATTTATTCATCTGCTCATTAATGTTAGTTAAAAAATTGGATAACTGTTATGTTTAGTACAATGATCTATTAAATTATATTTAACTGCATTTAAATATTCAATAAAATATGTGATGAAAGAGAATTCAAAATTTTAGATTGGCTTATGTACTCTTCTGAGATGTTATGGCTCAAATTGGTTTGCCTTAGGTTTTCAAAATCTAGGAAAGGGAAGGAGACAGACGATTAGTCGTTCACAATCAGATCTGAGTTGATAAGCATTTTACTACTTTGATTTTTATATAGTCATGAATAATTTAATTTTTAGCTGCATAGCTCTTGTCTATAGTCATGTGTTGTAGTGTAGATATTTATTTTGATGAAATAAAAGAAACTTTATGGATAAGATTATTTTCAATATTTGAATATTTTATCAGCTTTATAGTCTGTAATTTTATTTGAAATAAAATTGGAAGTGAATCTAAAATATTTCAAAACTTGGTCTTATGATTTACCTGTCATAGCTCAACACAATATGTCATATCCTGATCAAGTTAAGGTATGGCAAGCTGTTATGGTATCAAAGCAATAATTTTAGAATGGATTGTAAAACAGGGCTATAGGAATTGATTTATAAGACAAATGGGGTAGTTTTGTGTATTTCAAAGTGTTCATTATTATTTGTTTCACATGTTGTGTGTTTAGTTGCATATTCTATGTGAATATGGATCCGCCGGACCTAAATATGACAGATGGGCAGAGTGCTAGTCAGGAAGCTCCTATATTTAGTACTATTTCAACAATCAATTTTGACATAATTTTACAGTTTACTACTCTGATAGCCCAAATGATTGGCGAGACACAGAACAGGATTTGTACTGTGAGAACTGATGAGGTAGACAAACATTTATAAATATTTTGAGATTGAAACCTCTGAGATTTAAGGGTATTTTTAAGCCCAGGGCAGTAGAGGATTAGTTAAGGAGACTAAAGAAGACATTTGACAGGATGTAGTGTCCTCCTGAGAGGAAGGTACCCTTAGTAGTTTTTTTATTATATGGTGAGGCAGAGCACTGGTGGATGGGCCAGCATGAGGAGAAAATTCAGGAGAGATTTAATTCTTTGATTACCTGGGGGAGTTCTTGATGTGTTTAGAGCCTCGTTTGTAATACTTTTACATGACAACATATGCACGAAACTTTTCTGAGATTGGTTCAAGGGAGCAAGATGGTGATGTGATATGAGGCAAAGTTCATTGGTTTATCTAGATATGCTCCATAGTTGGTGAGCATTCCTACAGAAAAATGTTATAAGTTTTTTGAGAGGACTCCGAGATAGTTTAAGATAGGCTCTAGTGCCATTTTATATTTTTAATTTTTTTGAGCTTGTGGTTAGAGCTCATTTGATAGACAATGATCTAATAGCTACTCAGTAGCGGTGGACTACTAGTAAAAATAAATTCAATGGTAGACTTTTGATAGTGGCTTTTCTGGAAAAAGAGCAAATTTATACCTAGAGAGTCTACGAAATATGGATAGTCTGCACCTACGACAGCTTTGAGTAGGGCAGTATTGATAGTTCTGGGAGTTTTATTAGTGGGGCACCTGTGTACAAGAGTCATGATAGACATCACTTCGATCAATGTTATAGGATGATTGACTAGTATTTCAGATGCGAACATGTTATTCACAAGATGATTGAGTGTCCACAAGTAGAAATAGACCAACAATTTGAGCTAGATCTGAGAGTTATGTTAGACATGAAGGGATACTAAGGACAACTCCACTTCATACATTTACTGAGAGTTCTAATGGTAGAGGCAAAGGATCTGATTTTGTAGCAAGTATACCTTCTGGCTATGGTCAGAGAGAGTCTAGTAGCACTGTTACGTTAGCTCCAGTTCAAACACGTGTATACAGTTTGACTCAGGAGAAGGCACGTGATGCTCCAGATATAGTGACATGTACGATATATATTTATAATCAATTAAGTCATATTTTATTTGATTCTAGAGCTAAGTCATTCATTTTTTAAATGTTTCTTTGATTTACTGCACTTGACTTTAGTTATAATATATATTTCTCTTTCTATTATTCCATTGACGAGAGATAATATAGTAGCCAGTAGATTTTATTTATGTGGTATTGGGATTACTGATAAGAAGTGGACATCTAGTTTGATTTTATTATCTGTTTCTTCGTATAATGTTACTTTAGGTATGGACCAGTTGAGTCGGTATGAGGCTCATATTGATTGCATAAAGAAGATAGTTATATTAATTTTGGGTAATGAGAGGTGTGCATTTTAGGGAGTTGGAGGAGTTCTATCATATTTAATCTCTACTATGAAAATAGATAAATTATGGAAGAAGGGTTGTATGGCATTCCTAGCATCAGTCAGGTATTAGAGTATAGAGTCTAGTCTTATTTATGATGTTCCAGTAATATTTGATTTTCCAAATGTATTTCTGGAGGAGTTAGTTAGTTCGCCTCTGGATAAAGACAAAGTTTTGTATTGATATATTTTCGGGCATGCTCCAATTTCTAGATATCTGAATATGATGGTGACTAAAGAGCTTCAGGAGTTAAAGGTTCATCTTCAGGAGTTGATTAATGGGGGATTTGTTCATCCTAGTGTGTCTCTATGGGAAGCACTTATTCTATCTGTGAAGAAAAATGATGATATAATGTGTATGTGTACTGACTATAGAGAGTTGAACAATGTCACTATTAATAATAAGTATTCTTAGTCATAGATTGATGATTTATTTAATCATCTTGTTGGATCTTCTATACTTTCAAAGATTGATCTACGATCTTGATATTATCATGTGAAGGTGAGAGAGTCTGATATAATGAAGATAGATTTTAATATGAGGTACGGATACTAGGAATTCTTACTCATACCATTATGGGTGATAAATGCTCCAACAGTCTTTATGGATC